TCTGTTTTTCCGCATTTTCTCTCCTCAATTTCCCCGTTTTCCATTCGCTTGCCCGAATATGTACGTACGAATCGCACTTACTCTCGACCAACTCCCTATCTCCAGTCGATTCTATCTTCCACCCCCCTCCTCTCCCTTCGTCATCGCACTCGGCAGGATTCCACGTGAAAAAGTGACTGCGAGGGTGCCCTCCACCCGCCCACCCTCGCAAGCCAGCCCTCCGCTAGATCCACAGAAAAACCGGACTGCGAATCTTGCAAAGTAGAAACTCCCGGTAACGTCGATTCACGTAGCCAGGAGCCGGATTGCATAATGCTCCGTCGGAAAATCCTCGTCGGGGTCGCCGCATCAGCCTCAAAGGGGACTCCGTCTAGCGCGTCGCGGAACTTTTGCGGTTTCTATCGTCGACGACGTCTAACCGGGAGGAGGTTCGCCGACGCGGCGACTGACTGCTACCGAGGCTCCCGGTGCGGCTGGCCGCGGACGGTGACGCGCATCGGGGAATTTATCGGATGCGAAGGGACACGATGACTGTTTACCTCGTCGTGGCGCGATCTCGGGAACACGCGAGGCGAAATTGGACCGAGCACCGCTATCTTCGTCGGGTGACTGAATATTTCTTCGCGCGACCGAGTCGACTGGGGGCGATCTGTTGCTGCTGCGACCCTTTCGCATACCGACTTAGACGAAAGTATCGTTGTGATCAGATATTTTCGAAGGCGGATGGAATATATAAATATTTGGTTATGTTTACCGCTTCAAAATTGGAATTCGAAATTTATATAACGAGAAACTGAAATGTTTTCACGACATCAATTACAAACAAAATATGTTTCTTAGTATTAAAAGTTCATGTCGGACAATTGGAGACACCGAATTTCTCCGGAAAGTATCTTCGATACGAATACAGTGTCACCGCGATCAAGACCGAGGAAGAATATTACCGAATCGATTTTCAACGGGAAAATTTCAAGAGCGAACGTGACGAAGCTACCGCGGACAGCGCGCGTCCCGTTGACACTTCTGAGACAATTAGCCGGCCAGAAATTGGAACAATTATACAAGCGTTACCGTGGGCCAAACTAATGTTCCAAAATAATTGAGGCGGATGGGAGAGCGCGCGGGCGGAAGCCTTTGTGCCGCGAAGTACCATCGCGTTTGAAATTCCCGGCCGGGCCGGGCTCCCGCGAGTGATTGCGCCGGTACCCCGTTCCCCGCACTAACGAAATAATTACTAGTTTGCATAACTCCGTCGCGTGATTCGCGTCCCACGGCCGGGCCGCGTCTAATTATGAAAAATATACGGTTCGACGAGGCCCGAAACGTCACGCGTTTCCTCTTCGCGTAATGAACTAATTATGGCGGCGCGCGGGGAGCCGCGCAGAACTCGCGGATTACGAGGCCGAAGACCGTGTGTGTTCCCAGACAACGCGTTGCCATCCGCGGAGCCTAATTTCACGTACCGCTGACGAGAGACAGTCTGCATACTAAGCCCAAAGGAGGACCGGTCGCGCGATATTAATATGCGATCGAAGCCCTCCTCTTCCGCGTAAGCCGGTTACGACGGAGCATACCGCTTAATTTGATGTTCATTCGATTAATCCGACCCGGTCGTCGGTAGAAATAACAATGGCGCCGAGCTCTCCCTCTATCTCTGTCTCTGCGGATCGGTATTGACGATTCGACGCGCGCCGCTCGATACTCGTCGCGCCGCGTTTACGTACACTCCGTAGGTGTAATTGGACGGGGAACCGACGCCTGCTTTTCAAATTCTTTCTCTCTTCCCGCTGCGTAACCGTCCGAATGTCGTTTCATTGTCAAATTGTTGTGTGCAGGGGGGATTCGGAAGTCGATCTTAAAATGCTTTTTCCTTCGTTCGTAGGTGTCTCGCGTGTCACGGAGACGGGTAACATCACGATTATCTGTCTCGTCGGAAAGGTTGAACAACGATCAGGTGAAACATTGTGGATAAAAGTATGTGGACGATCGTGGAACGTAATTCTCGCAGAGATAGTCGCTTTTAAATAATGTCGGTCGGAGAGGTGTGATTTACGCGTTCACCGAACAATGGAGCCGATGCGTCCCTATTGAATATAATTTTCATAAAAAAGGTGGCTCGCACGGATAAACTTCATTCAGCGTTTCCAATCTACATACAAGTCGCGGCGGAGTTATCTGGCGAGGTTGAGAGCCAGCGAGCCGGGAGGCAGCACGATTTTCTTTTCAAAACAAGGGCTCGCCATACATTCCTGGCCCCCGATCGCCGATAACCTTGTACGAGAGCGCGCGGCGCACCGAGTGTTCGCAGGCCCATTTAAAGTATCTCGGGGTCCACCTACGGATTCAGCGGTTCCTTTCGCGGGGGCATAACGCGGGGTTAGGCAGGGCCCGAACGTGACACGTAAAAATATCATGCGGGGTACCGATACATCACGCGATCAGATAAACGGAACAGGGGAATGGGCTCCGACTTCGTCGTTTGTCGTCCGCGATAGAATCTCGATGGCAGCGCTAAGCGGTGGCTCGCTTTATTTTTGCACCCAACTATTTTGATGACTCAACTGTTAGACGGACGCGTACACGGACCCGACGACGCACGGGGGCGCGCCCGTTGCCCCTTCGCAACGGATTACGGAGATCGAGATCGCGCGGGACAGGGCCGAACCGTTTTTCTAAAACATCGTTAGCGGCCGCGTGAGCCAGATCGGACCTCGAGACAACGGGATTCTGAAATCTTCATTCTTATGATCCTAGACCCCGCGAGGAATTAACGTGTTCCCTGTCGACGACAACTTGAAAATTATGCGATAGCCTGGGCGTCATCGGTGTTGGTCTTGTTAGGGGATTGTAGCGTTGTTAAAGGATTTCGTGTACGATGAACATGGGTAGGAAGATTGTGAAGATAGAAGACTGGAGGTACGGAATATATAGTTCAGAGAGATGAAGGAACAAGGTGTGTAATCTGAACGAGGAATTTGTAAAAATTATTGTTACAACGGTTTATAGTCTTCTAGTGAATGAGAAGAGAATAGGAATATCGTGGCGTATGTAACAAAAACGAGATGAAATATAGCGTTTAGCAACTGTTTTTAAGTACTCTTTTCAAATCTGTAAGAATATTAAACTGTGATGTAGCTGAAAGGTCAAAATTTTAAATAACTCGTTCAGCGACGATACATCATTAATATTATTAACAGTGTATTTTTTGGTGATGTAAGTATTAACTGTTCACCAGTCGCGGATATCGTATAATGACTTTATTGATAAAGCAATCCTATTCTGGGTATTTTCTGGGTATATTCTCGCCTCCCCGCGAAAATTTAACGTGACAGTCTCGTCAACGTTTCTCTTCAACTTCGCCAGGCAATATTTGCGCTGCACGCGTTGATTATTTACACGTACACAGAGCGCGAATATTCATCATCGGACCGACGCGAGTCGTCACTACGTTTTGGGTACACGTCGCGGGACGTTAATATCGACAGCCTCGAATGATATTGACACGCGAAACATTAACCCGTATAATTATTCCTTAGCCGAATTCCGACACCGTCGCTGGCAGGTGCACTAAATACCGAGAGACACCAGCGCGAATAATTTCCACTTTGTTTGCTCGCGATATAACGAACAATCCGTAAACAAATACCCGTTCCATTCGCGGCATGTTACTCTAATTTCCACATAAATGATCAACGGAAAGAATCTCTATCTCGTTAACGGATAAATTGAAATGAAATCAATACGAACATGCAAGCTTCGAACACAGAAACCCTAAGGTTTATTTACTATTCATTCACCATTTATTTGCCGGTTTGCCATTTCAATCCAAAGGGACTGGCGCAGGAGAATGAAATGCAAATATTGGTGTACCTCTCCAAATTGAAATATTCGACAAACGGAAAATCACCATTCTCAAAAATCTGTCAACGCAGAATCTGAATCAGTTATAATCAATAATAATTTTCTGTATCTTAATTAAATCTCCGGCTCGCGAGCCCCTCGTTATTAGGGCTCGTTTGCACCGGATACTTGAAAACAGTTCGAAGACACGGTACACTTTAACTGCATATCAATAGCCCCATTATCGAGGCGAGCCAGCCCTTTAGGAGCTCGACGGGCGCAACGCAGACCGCTCGTGCCTAGCCTCGCAACCATAAATCGTAGGCTCCGCGGCGGGCGAATCGCAACACGAGCGTAATCTCTTTTACTTCGGGTTAAGCCCGTGCCGAGTAGCAGGCCGCCGCGGCGGACGGCTCTATCGCGCGATCTACTTCTGAGTTAATTACCGTCGAAATAAAGAACTGGGTCGACCGTTCGGAATCCCGGGAACGAAAACGACCGGCGATAACGAGTCCATCCCCGTCCGGAGCCGATAAAACGTAAACGCCGACGCCGTCCGCGCATATCGAGGCATGACGCTCCGCTGGACCGTGACTCGGCCCGATTAGCCAACCGTGAACAGTTGAATTCCTGTCACTTTCGCTGATATTCGAGTCCAGCCCTCTCGATCGTTGATTAACGGGTGTTAATCGTAGAATCCTACTATCGTACACGAATAATAACTCAATATCTTCGGTTGCAATAATCGCGTGATACTCGACGAAACTTTCATTTCCGATTGCCCTTCTTAACCGAGATTTTGTGTGACTTTCCGGAGGGGAAGGCTCGAATTTAATAGCCGCGAGAGCATTCGAATTAGAAATTAATTGGGGAACGCTCGGTGTAATTAGAAATTCTATAAAGGTATACGACGGGGAGTATGATTTAATTAAATCGTTTCGGTAAAAGAGTTAATCAATGCACCGCTCGTGCAGGTGCACTGTTCAATTTTCCAAAGTGCCCGTGATAAATAATTCCCGGGCTGCGGGGGTGGCTGTGTACCACGGGATCGCGCGCTCGACCGTTCAATTTTTCCCGTAAATCCATCAAATGATCCTCGGGCGAGCACTTCGCGCGGAATTATCTTTCACGGCGGGAACCACATAAATCAAACCACCTACCGTGATCTTGAGGTCCCGCAGGTCGCACGTATCGTACCGCCTGGAGAAACGTAGAACGGTGTGCGTCTTGTTCTCGTAACCCAATAGGAGAGTGTAGTCTTGGCTCGAGTCCATCACCGGGTCCTTGTTGGCACCCTTCACGTGCCGGTCCTGAAAATGCAATAACTTTACGTTAAACTCGGCGCCAATCGACCGGCAAAAACATTAGGATAATGCTAGATCGCGCGTCGCAAACGTTACATTCTTGGAATCGGGCTTCCGACTATACGAAACTTTTATGTGTAGTACGTGATTCACATTGAATCGTTTAACCTGTTACTAACTTTGCGACGATCCTGACTTCAAATATATTTACATTTAAAATAATATTCAAAAAGGAAGCAGTATTTAGAATTCCGTTGGAATTTTTCGAAATACAAGGGTATCTTGGACGACAATATCGTTTTATAGCAAAAATACTATCCCAATACTGTTAAAATCTAAAATTTCCATTCAAATCAAAGAAAATTCCCCCTGAAATTCTATTGGTTTAAAATTTCAAACGATTTATAGTAATAATGGAATGAAATAAAAGCAGTTCCTCCTGAACTACAAATATATGTTAATTATCCCTACGAGGCTGCATCCGAAAGCCCGATTCCCACAAGAAAGTAACAAAATCCCAAGGCCCGGACCGCAAGAAACCGAAAGTATTCCATTTCAAACGTCTCTGTCACGTGTCAACGATTTCTTATCGCCGTCCTAACCGCGGAATCTCACGATACACGGATTCCCCGGACGAGAATCCGCCGAACCGTCGCGAACAAGGTGAGAGTCGGATCTACGAGGCGAAATTCGCCAGGAGAAAGAGAGCAACGTCGAAGCGAAACTATTCGACCGCGCCGCCTTTTTTCTGGGCTTGAACCGTCTCGGAAGGACACACCTAACCCAGACAACGGGTGCAACGTCGCAGGAACCCGACGGGTTAGTTAACCATCCCGAAGGCGGCGTTTGAATCCTCGCAGGCTCGAAAACAAGTTTTTCTGCGAGATTCCCGGTCGCCGCCTCAATATAATTATCCGCGGTGCGCGTCGGCTGCTCGACGCCGACGACGCCTTCCGCGCCGCCGCCATTGTTCGTCCGTAAACGACCGAGCCGCTTTTTTCTTGGCTTTTCGGCGAGCTTTATTAGAATTTAATTTACCACCGAGGAACAGACCCGAAGGGGATGGAGAGTAGCGAAGAGAGAGAAAGAGAGAGAGAGAGAGACCAGATCTCCGGGCACATACACGCGGTTACGGCGTGAGCCCCGACGAGTCACGCGTGTTATACTTCTGGGCTCCTTTTGTCCCGGCATTCTTCTGCTCCGCCATTCGTCTCACCTGTGAGTCGCATACATGCGGCGCGAGGGCAGACGTATGCGAAAATACGGCTGCAGGTACGGCCGGGCAGGGCCACCGGGGCAAAGAGGGGGAGCGGCACGGTGCATCGTGGAGAAGAAAGAACACCGGAATATCCATTTATGTTAGCCCCGACGCGTGAAAGGCTCGAAAGAGGGCAGCGCGCGGAGAATGGCCTGATTGGATATAAAATATAAAGCGTTTGAAATAAAAACTTGCTGCCGCGCGAGGGACCGAGTCGCAAAAACAACGGACTCTCTGCGGTGGGGAAATAATAAAAGAAAAAAAGGAATCGCGGAAAAGAAGAAACACTGGACGCAGGTGTAGGGAACCGCGACGGGGAACGATATTGTCAAAGTTACTTAGCGCTCTCGCGTCGGCGATTTTACGGCGATTTTTATTAACGATCTCGTTTTCCCGTTCGTTAGAAATCTCGGTCGTGTTTTTCCGCGCCTCGTGTCTCTTTTGTCCGGAACGCGTCGCCCGGCGCCTGCAATGGACACGGAGACTGTGTTTGAAAATGTAACGCAGTGAATCTGGGAGAAAATTCGAATTCCTCGAGGAAACAAGGACCATTCTTTCGCTTTGAAAGCGCGACGATCGACGGCTTTGAGCCCGGCAGTCACCGACGATATTGCTTCCGTGTTTAACGTTTCGATAAAGGCTTCCCTCGACCGACGCGCGCGCGCACGCTGTTAGCTAACAATTATGGTCCTTTTGTCCCGAGCGACGCGGGGAATCCGAGTCGCTGAAAATAAGATGCCACGGATTTAAACCGTGCCGCGAGCGCCATTGCGCCGGGCGCTGTTTATTGCCCGATGGCCGCGGGTTTAATTGTACACCGGACGGGCCAGTCGGGGAGGAAATTAAATTCTTTAAGCGTGCTCGCCGCCCGGACGGAGAAAGGTTCCGTTTAAACTTGCTGCGGCCGCCCAGCTCGATAACCGTGTGCCTCTCTCCCCGTCGCGATACGAAAAACTATTTATAACCGCAACTTTGATCCGCGTTCATTATAAAACCTCCCCGGAGAGGAATAACGTTACGCCACGGTTTTCCTTCAGAGAAAACTTCGACTTTGTTCCAGCTGCTTCGGGGTAACGTCGCGCGTCAGCATACTCGATGCATATGCACCGTTGTTTCGAGGTCACGAATAACGTTTATGTGTCGAGCTATTGGGTAATACATCGTCGAGATGATACGCCGTTAGAAAGAAAATAAATTAGAGTACAAATTACATCTAAAACCTGAGAGATGATGATAATAATTGACATAACATTAGGCTTTACACCTGTGCGCTTGTCTCTGTTGTATCACAGGAAACAACGTTCATCGTAATTTCCTAGTTCCGAAGCCGCAATCGCGTTTGCGTGATCCGATGTATAAAGAAAGAGACTGGGGAAGAAATGTAATTTAATAAGAAGTTACAAGTGGTACCGATTCAGATTAACCGCAAATGAACAGCAGGATCGGACCCCTACGAAAAAGTTCAATTTCCTCGCGTCTACGCTCCACCCGATTATTCTTGGCCATTATTCCGCCGCGAGCAAATAAACCGTGCAGCGACGATCGAAACGCGGAAGGGCGGGCGCCTTGGACGTCCGAGCGAGACTAAATTTCACGATGTAACCGGGAGAGAGCCCGGGAAACCGCGAGCTCCCCTAAAAACCCGTGGCCATTGGAACGTGGCGCGAGACGACGGCCGAGTAATAAATAATTTCCAGTGCCGTCTCGCGCAACTTCTTCAATTTCCGCCGCCGTGTCGGAAGCGGGGAGCATACTTTTTCCCTCCTCCGCCTCCTCCGCCTCACCGGCCCCGTCGAAAGCCAGGCCGACGCAGCCGACACACGACCGATCGGACGTCCAACGAACGACGCGACGGCTCTTACATCCAACCTTTCCAGCGCGACCGCCAGCCAGTCTACGTGCTCGCGGGAACTTTCAGCTCGTTTCAGCGCGTGCAGCGTTCGTCATCAATTTCGTGTACAAGCGACGCGATCCGGGCGGGGGTGGCGGCTTGCGCGGAATTTCTACCGCTTGCGCGGCGCGCGTTCGTTCACCGTGTATAAGGTGTTATATGTTCGGCAATCTAAGAAGACATTATTTCGCAACCCCGGCGTTGATGGTGGAATATATGAAAGGAAATTTCTTTGTGTACTATTTCGTTTTGTAGAGAATCACTAATGTGATTTTTAATTCCTCATTGATGCGAGGGTTGATCGGAAGAATCGATAGATATCAGTTTTGCAAGACATAATATTATTCATTCGATAATAGTACTTTGAAATATCTATACGAGAAACTTAATGAAAATGTTGAACATGCTGTGACATTAACATCGGGTAACTTTTTAAGGGGTAAAATAAAATCCTCATTAAACTCCGTTAAAAAGACGAAGCGCAGAAATGTCGCGTTCCTAGGCGTATTCCTTCGCGTGAAATGAAACCAGTAAGGATACGCTCGCTCCGCGACACCCTGTACAGGTTCGAATCGAGCGCGCGAACGCGGTCGTCGAACGATAAGAGGAAATCGGATCGAATCACGTACCGCAGTAAACTCGTAGATATATAGGTTTCCCCTAGCCCCAGTGTAGGTGGTGGAGGACGGGGTAAAGGGGCGAGCGGTCGAGCGTTACGAAGAAAGGGACAGCGAAAGGGGGAAACATCGTTGTCGCTCGTGGAAATCGTCCGCGGGTGGACGAGCGTGTTCCGTTTCCGCGAGCGCTCGTGTCCCGGCGAGCGACGTGCAATTGTCTTCCGCGCTGTCCCCATCGGCCGTTGCAACTGTTTATTGTCGCGACCAGGTACTCGCGCGCGGTTGATACCACGGGATACCACGAAAGAATGCCGCGCGCGGCCAATGTCCCGCAATTATACGAATTATGTCTGCCGCTATTCAACGCGCGCTGATCGCGGATAATGACGTCCGCATGACGCATGCATCACCGCGATGAAATGTGAAAATATGATAGTACTTGTAGTAGAGTCTATTGATTATCATTCGATATTAGTGCAACCGATTGTTCGTTGTCGTATCAGTATTATTCTGACGTAAAATATTTATTTCGTTTGTAATGCAAGAGACTGAACTACGATGTCAATGCTAAACTTGAGGTTATCAAACGGAGTTGGTATTGTAATATATTTGTTTTCTTATAAATACGTAAAATCCTTGATACGCTAACGACTCCATTGAGACGTTACATCGGGTGCAGATGGCACACAGGGAAGTTAGACTCGGAAAGCAGATATTGACTCAAGCCGACGAACGCGCGAGACCTGGGAAGAAAGTTTTCGTAAGTTGATCGTCGGTCTCGCGTGCAGGGCATTATTTGCGCGTTTACATACGCCATCCGGGGGTTGCTAAAAAAATCAGGAAGTCCGCGCCGTTGTGAAACGCTATCGCGATAGAGGCGCCGTATCCGCGGCTATACGTGTCCCACGGTACCACTACCTTCTCCTTGCCATCGGTTGTCGTCCCCATAAGTATTTATTGCCGCGTGGGCGTCGTGGTATAGCAAACACTCGGCCAAGCTCGGACACGGGGAGTCAGCTGTTCCGGTATTATGCAACTTTTTAATTATTTATCGATCGTACCGCGTCCTCCACGAACTGGAGCTGTGTTCCGCGTGTAACGCAGCCAACGGGGAACGGAAAATCGCCGGGACCGCGCGTCGAAACACGGAACGCCCGAGACCCAAGCGCGCAACGGGTGATTACAGCTTATTACTCTGACCTTCGTACGACTAAAATAGCAGAGTGCGGTTGAGCGAAAT